ATCGTGCAATTTCGTTTGGGAACTGGATGTATTTGTTGGCAAAAAAATATTGTGTAACGAATCAATCACTCTTCAGGCAAGTTATCGAATCGTTGGATTGTGAAATAGCGATAATATACAACATTTACTCATAGGAAAAATTTGGTCGGAATGACTTGAGAGAATCAAGGAAAATATATTTACCACATGTATGGTGGCTCAGTTAAAGTTATCAAAAATATATTACATTATCGAATGGCAATTATATTTCAAATAAATTATTCCATATACTGTGAAATGAAAAACAGTCTGTAAAACAAGTTGAAGAATATCATAGCAAATTGATCGCTAACGCTGTTAATGCATGAACATTCTCAACATGCGAGAATCATAGAAATCGATTGTCATGATCAATTCAGAGTTTTCATAAATTCTTTTTTTTTTCAAACAAAAAAGACTCAAAATTCAAAAAACTGTAATATGAAGGTGGCTTTCAAAACTGCTCGTACACTTCGACAACTATTTTGCATAAATTTTCGCATACTGCTGGTTAGAAACAATAATTCAGGGTACCATATAATCAGGTACTTTCAAAAGTTTTGTCCGTTTTAATGTCATGTATTTTGGTAGCTCCATATCTCAATAAATATTTATTCTACTGTATCGTGGTATATATTGATCGATGGAGAATTTTTTACTCTATACTTTGATGGTGTTTATTTTCTTTCAATTTTAAATTTTTGTCCTCTTTTCAACATTTTACTGCACGATGCGATTTTCGGCCAATTTTTCTATACGAATTCAAATTGAACCAAAACACTGCCGAAAAATTAAACAGGCTATGATCGACAGAAATTGTCACGTTTCATGGTCTGTTTTTTTTTGTTTTTGGGCTTCCAAAACGATCCTATTTTGAATCGGATCGTCACGTGTGATAAAAAGTCGCTCCTCTACGACAACAGGAGACGTTCAGGACAGTGAATGGACACCCAAACACCTCCCAAAGGCGAAAACCCATAAAAAAACCATATGTACTGTATGGTGGCCAGCGGTGGTATGGTGATTCACTATAAATTTCTGCAACCTGGCCAAACCATCACAGCAGAATGTTACGGTGAGGAAATCGACGAGATTTGCCGAAAAGTACCGCAGCCGGCACTGGTCAGCGGAAGAGGTCCGATCCTGCTCGACGACATCACCCGTCCGCACGTATCACAAATCGTCGTCCGAAAATTAAATGAATTGAGCGTCGAAGTTTTGCCTCACCCGCCATACTTCCCAGACCTCTCGCCAACCGACTACCATGTTTTTAAGCACTTCGATAACTTTATTACCGGCAGAACCTTCGCTAATGAGGACCAGGCAAAAAAACCTTCGTCGTACATAGGAATGTAGGCCTTCGTCGTGCTCAACTTGTATGCTAATAGCAGGGGGCCTACGATGCAAATTGGGGATTTACTCGAGCGTCATTGAGACCTCGTTGCAAAGCTTAGATGATAAGAAGAAAAAAATGTTATATAATATATATCTTTTCATCGTTGGGGGAAGCGGTTATAGATTTTTAAATATGTAAAAAAATACTGTTACACTCGAGCGCATTAGATATTGATAGCATCAATTTCCTACGTATTTTTAATAGTGTTGGTATATTAATCTGATCGTTTGCATGATGTGGGTGGTTGTACGTAAGGGTTAAAAGTGAAAAAAAAATTTAATCGAGCGCGTCAGATTTTCTAAGGGGGTGGTGTTAAGTGCAACAAAAAAAGCTCTCATTCAATAATCTGACGATTTCGATCTCACGCAAACTAGCGGCCATTATTATAATGTGCGAAAACATTCGCCATTTTGAAATACTGAAAATACTGAAGCGCGTCAGATTAAGATATATATGGTTCATCTTTATGTTTTAGACGTGCTGTCTCATAATCTGACGATTATCTAGAGGGATTCGCTTAATCTGACAAAAATATAAAAAAAAGAATTCTTATATATTGTATAAGTTTGAAAATGAAAATAGGACGAAACTGCAGTAACGTTAGTTACAAATAAAAATGGTAAAAAACAGAAAAGTTCAATTTCTCTTTTCTTCATTATGATTTTCTACCACGTAGTAACGGATACATCCATCAATTAAATTGATTAATTAACCATCATCTTCGTCTTCATCACAAACAAATCTCTGTGATCAGCTGTGATGGCGTCAGAATTCAGAGTGGGGACGGAGTGAGAGAGTAATAGATAGAGAAAAAGTGAATATAGAAACTCGGAGAAGAAAATATAGGTATCACACAGCTGCACGCATTAAATTTTATCGAAGAATTTTTGTTATTTCGTCAGATTATATATTTTTCGTTATCCTTGAATTATTTCCTTCAAAATAAAAAAAAATTAGCTACGCTCGAGAACGTCGAAATTACGTTATTTTTTACAACTTTGCTGCCATCCCCTTTCTTTATGTGTATCTCAAATTGTCAGATTACTGGAATATACACTTTTTAGCCGGTAATTAACTCACCCTACCTCAATCTGACGCGCTCGAGAATTTCTGATGATCAATTTATTTTACTAATCTGATCCTTTATCCGTCACAGGCGGCCTTATATATGGGGCTCATATTTGGTGGAGGTATTAACCTGGTACTAGGTACCCCCCTGTATATTAATCTGCCGCGCTTTAGTAAATCCCAAAATCCCCCCTTGGGCTCCCCTATTATAACGACTTGTGTTACGTTGGCAAAAATGAACTGATTCAAATGGCGCTTATTTCGATGGAATTGCATAAGTATGCACTGAGATATTTCAGCCCAAAGAATATAACCTGCAAACGCATCTAAATCATAGGAGCAACGTTTGGAGGCTATAATGGGGGTTTTACTCGTGTAAAAATAATGTTGTTAGCTACTTTCGGAGAGTGGGTCGTAGAAAAAATACTCTAATGTGATAGAAAGGAGATTTATTCGTTGTGCAAGCTGCAAGTTGATGACTTTACTACATTGATCCATTGAAAATCGCATGGAGAGATGAAATGATCATTTGATAAAATATACTGTGAAAGAAAAACTTTTAACTACTTATGTGCTTTTGATTCTAAAGTGATGAATGTTCCTTTTTTGTTAAACAGGAGAGCGTGAGACACCTCTATGTATATACCGGGTGATTCTCTAGGGTGGCTCACCCCTATAACTATTTTATTATTGGAGATAGAAAAACGAAATTTTTTAAATGGGACATCCTATATATTTTTATTTATTTCGATCGAGAATGACATTCTAAATCCAACAATACTTCACTTGTCAATATTTGACAAATAAAATCATATTTATTCCAATTTTAATTTTTTTATCTAGAATGCCATGGATCGTGTAAATCGCTTCATTCTTGATTAAATAACATGAGAAAACTACGACTTTGAGGCTTATGACTTCACAGTCTTTTGTGAAAGACCATTTTCTTTCGAATAATTTGATGCCACACACTTTCACTTTATTTTCTCTATTTATCTGAATAATTGCAAGAAAGTCGCAAATTAGTGTACATAAGTATACCGAATACGTATTATTTGTTATTAGGAATGATCGTTTCTTGCAACTATTCAGAAAAATAGAGGAAATAAAGTGAAAGTGTGTGGCATCAAATTATTCGTAAGAAAATGATCTTTCACAAAAAGCCGACGAGACACCCCATTTCCATTTGAAAAAATCAAGTTAACTGGAAAAATTCATATTTGCGACTGTGAAATAATTCTTAAAACGACTGTGAAGTTATAAGCCTCAAAGTCGTAGTTTTCCCATGTTACATCAAGAATGAAGCGATTTACATGATCCATGGCATTCTATATCAAAAAATAAAAATTGTAATAAAAATGATTTTATTTGTCAAATATTAACAAGTGAAGTATTGTTAGATTAAGAATGTCATTCTCGATCGAAATAAGTAAAAATATTTGAATTGAAGGGGTTATATTTTTAAGGAGTGATTAATTTTTGGGAAAGAAAGTTTTTGGCTTTCTACTACTCCATCTTGATACAAAAAAAGAAGGATGATGGAGTCTTCCAAAGAAAGGAAGGAAGTAACTCTATACATGGATGTGTAGGTCATGCAAAGAAGTAACTTTCAGACACAAACTGAAAGAAAGTCCTCCTGAAACAGCTACTTTCATATAAACATTGAATTATACGAAAGAAAAAATTCTTTCAAAACAAATACCTATATGAACACTGAATTATACAGAAGATACTTTTCTCTACTCAATTTGTATTTCAAACATTCGTTGTGGAATAAAAATCAGATATCATTCACATGAGTTCTACTTTAAATTAATGGTAACAAATTGCACTCACATAGAACACTGCCATACACCGATATTTCGCCTTAAGACACTTGCCCTAAGGCTCTTCAGTACCAAATTGGATAACATCATGAATGAAGTGTGTGTATTTTCTATAATGTTATCCAATTTGGTATTTATTAGTTATATAGCTATTTAAAATAATGTGATTGAATTGATAAGCGTCTCTCTACCTTTATAGCCAAAAAAAGCAGCATTCAAATATAGCCAATATTAATATGAGCAAAGAATAGAAATAATGGAGAAAGCTAACCTGATCAAGATGTCGCCAGCGTATATCTTCCTCCAATGGATATTCTCTCCTGTAGAACTTCGTTCGAATCCCTGTAGAGATCTGGTGTGTTCATAAATCTTTGAGATTCTGAATGGAATAATTCAAATCCAAAAGACTTAAGTGAGTATTTCTCTTTTCTCAAGAACAAGAAAACTCACAAAGATGTGAGCACAATTCTTTGATTCAGCTCTGGCCATGTGCCGTGATGATAATAATAAAGATTTTCTGCTTTCAAATTGATGTCAACTTTTTGCGGTTGTCAGGTCGTTATGGGTATTGACGTCACATACGGTCCGTTTGGAGTAAAATCACCTCCAATGACGTAACAGGTGAACCCTTTTGATGAAGCCTTTCAATGATATATAGTTATAAACTTAACAGAAGTGACACCAATTGCCAATGTACCTCAGGCGTGATGTAAATTTATATTTTTAAGAACTAAATATTAGAATGTTGAAGTACCAATGGAAGCACCACTTGAAGTACCAATGGAATTATAAGCAAGAACTGATTGATGGTAAGCGATTGAAGGACATCTAAATGAAATTGAATATACAGAGCTATTATTTTCAGGTTACCGAAACCTAGAATTTAATGGATCTCATGGAAGTACTATTTCAAAAATGAGCATTTTTTCTTTTTCTCCATATTTGGTTATAACAATAAGTAAGCAATAAATGAATGAACATCCAGGTTGATTTATGATGATTTAACGAATATCATAAAAAGTAAATTAATACGTAACAAGAAGACTCACGGAAACGGGCAAAACTTTTGAAACAACTTGATAACATTGAGTTGATGCGTCTTTTCGTTTTTCCATTTCAATTCTTGGAAGAACGATTCTACGGTAGGAAATTCTCAAAATGACTTCCTGTATAAACTGAGTAGATACGATAGGCTTGCCACTCAACTGTTCCACGCTGGAAAAATTGCTATTTTCGTAGGTGGAAAGAGAGTTGATGTTGCGCATCAACATTTCGAGAACATACAACTGTAATTGAAGTGTCTGGTCATGGTTCATTTCTCACTACTGCGAAACAAGCAAGATGCATTAGGATTTTACAACGTTCGTTAAGCAGTTTTACGAAATGTGAATATTTTGATGATGTAGAAAATATGTACTTCACTCAATGCTGTATTGAAACAATACACCAAATGAGTTTCAGAATAATTTTGTGTACGATTTCACTCTCAAACATAATTGGCAAACGTCGTTAGTCGTGCTCACTTATAAAAGATGTGCGAAGACAGAATCTTGCATAATTTTATGACTGAATTTTATTTCACCTACTTGTGATGTGCAATCGAACTGATTATGTTGAGATTAAGTTATGACAAACAGTACCCAGAAATGTTTTACTATGCGATTTTATGAACGTAGCAAAATGATAAGTGATATAATTTTTTTTATCAACACCCCCGACATCAAACAGAAGTTTATTTTGCCACAGAAATTTTGAAATAAATCAGCATTATAACTTCCTGCACTCCAGGTTTCAGTTTTATGCTAATAGATACATATTTTATGAGAAATAACAAAACAACGTTAACATATTGTACTCAAAATTAAATCTACGCCAGTTCAACTAAGAATTGATTCCTTACAATATAGTTCTCTTATTGAGAAAACAGTACATGTATACTTAACAAATCGTTAAAAACCGAAAATTGATGATGAACATTCAGACAGTTTAACCATACAACGAGGTGTACCACAAGGTAGCAATCTTGGCCCTCTTTTCTATACATTCTATACATCACACTTTTCTTTCAATTTAAATCGCCACTTGTTATGGAAAAACATTTTCTAAAAATTAATTAAGTCTTGAGCTATTTTGTTCGGGAATGAAATCCAGAAAATGGAGGCTACGTATAGATTACGGATCTGTATCAATGATGATGTTATTAATTTCAGTTACCACGTAAAAATTTTTGTCACTTCAAAACTGAAAACGGCATATGCAGCTTCGGAATTGTTATATCCTCATAGAAACGACGGTTCTATCACATTTTAACCACATTACATTGTTTATGGTCCTTTTCTTTGGTAGTCTGATGCCTTTCGTATTCAAAAAGTACAAAATATTCGAATAACTTACAGTTGGGGAAACGGAATAAAATAAGCGATAAAACACATCCTTTATATAGTATCCTTTTCTTGAAAACATGGTTTTGTACTAACTGAGATATAATGTAGGTACTATAATTTTCAAAATAAACTATATTCTCTGATATTAGCCACAAACTGCATCCTTTTTCAGGCTCAGTTGCAGGAAATTTATAGTACTGTTGGAGTGAAAATGTGTTTGTTAGAATTGGAACCTATGACCTATGACTTATGAAGGTAATGAAAACACGTTCACACAAACCAGAACTGTAACATTGATACCCGCGTTTCGCTAATCGCGATAACATCAGGATATGACTGAAACCATCAGGATATACTGAAACAGATTTATTTATGTCCTCAAGATGCTTACTTGGCCAATCAAACGCGTGTTTAGAAACAATTTATTTTATTTTATGTGGTGAAAGGGTTTTCACCAGATTCATTTAACACTCCAAATTTTATCAGGCACAGTGGTGTTGATGAAAGAATACACATACGTCAATTATAAAATTCGCGAAAAAACACATACTTTTATGCAGCATCCCTCTATTAGGCTGTTTCAAAAGTGTAGTATGTTTAAATGCGTCGATTTCAGCTGTACTATTCAGTGAACACTTATTCAATTTATTTGAATCAGTGCAGTTTTGCCAATGTAACACAGGTCGATTCATTTCGTCAGCATGAAAATTGTGTGTTCCGGATTCGATAAAGTCGACGAAGGCCTTTTCTGTCTGGTCCTGATGAGTGTAATATTCGTAACAGTCAGAAAGTTATAGACCAAAAGAATAAAATCATTAATTCATGTGACATAATAAAAATACGCCAGGTATTTTCAGAAGAGTTCGAAATTCAATGATGCGGCGGCTAGACGCTGGTATTGAAGCCGAAGGAGGCCATTTCTAACACTTAATTTAGTGCAATTCGTTAGTCTAGATGTTAATGTTATTTAATATTTCTTGTTATTGTTACATAATTAGTAATGAAAAATTGTAAAAATAATAATTTCCAAAAGAAACATTTAATTCCCCATATTATTTCTTGTGAGGTCCAGGGATATGCAATTAGGTGGACTTTTTTTTCTTAAAAACCAAGCAAGATACGAAAAAAATTCAAGAGACAAAAAAGTTGTATTTTTAATCTCCTAATCCAAAGAGATAATGAAAATTTCACAAAAGTCAGTGGCGTACATTTTTAAGTCAAAAATATTCGTTCAAATCCCACTCGAGACGCCACTGGAATAACGTTCGGGCTAAAGTAGCTCCTTAATGTTATAAATACCATTGCCAAATTACAACAAAATTATATAGAGGATATTTAAGATATTTATGAATAACTTTTTTTTAAATTTTTCTTTTAACACCCTTATGATGCACTGTTTGGAACCTTTGGTGTAGTAATGAATATTACTGGAGTTTTAATCTTCCTCTTTGAAGATTATCACTTGGTGATCGAAACACGTGTCGAGGTGTTGAAAATAACGATTTGGTGTTGGGAAAAAACTCCAGTAATATTTTTTAACATCCTGTATCTTGAGAACGAAGGATTTGCAGACCCATGTTTATATGAACATTTCGTCTTAAAATTACCTAAAGAATCGTCTGTTTAATTTATGGTACATACTTAATTAACACCCTGTATAGTATTCATGAAAATACAGTGAAGATTAAAAATGATAGATAAAAAAAAAGTCAAAAAATATCAAAGAAAAAATGTATAAATATGTTATCAATAAAACAACACAATTTTAAAATTACTTGACATAAATCGTAATATACATCGTGGTATACCGAAAAACTAGAATTTGTAAGCAAAATACACTTCCATACTGTAGAAGCACTTTTCCAAAACAAGGTTCTTCTAAATTTGAGACTGTCTGGTCAAAGATGATGAAAACAGTGGAAGGGCAAGTTTTTTATCGCTACGCGTAGACCTTTCTGTATGGCTTTTAAACTTTTCTTTATGTTTGTGAAGTAAGCAGACAGCCTCTAGAATGAATATTTCAAATATTATTTCATGATCACTTCAATGAAATTCCAACTAGTGGTAATTAGACAAAGGTGTTCTTATTCATTCATTTCAAATATTGTTAATATTTTATTTCTCCAGGAAAGTGGCCTACACGACTCACGCATCTTCAATTTGACTATTATTTTCAAAGCTCTTTTCTGGATAACGAATATACTCTGCATTAAAATCTGGGTGCCAGAGGCCAAGAAAGGAATTTCATACAGTAGATAACTCTCCATAAGTGAATAGTATCTACTTGAATGTTATTAGATTTGTTTCAGGAACATTTAGCGATAGCACCATATTTTTATTTTTTCTAAATCTGAGTGGATAGATCGCAAACAAGCTTATTGCTCCAGATATCTCCAGTCCTAGGCTCAATATAATTGAGCCTAGGACTGATCCCTGTGTTGTTGCTCAATGTTATTTTTTGACGTCTACCAGTACTATAAGATCTACATATGATAAGTACTACAATGTGAATGTGAATTACAGCAAACCTTCCGTGCGAAAGTCTCAAACTAATATTAGTCCAGTTGATAAATCCCAGATTCTGCTTATCGGATCCAACAAAAAGCTGAACATGAAGATCCAAGGCGTTGAAAAAGATGATGATTTAGCATGGCTGTATGTCGGAAAAATAAAGGGGCAGATAGATTATGAAGTTATGCGATCGTTTCTGGATGAAGCCTTCCCGAATGAAGTTATTAAGTGTTTCAAATTAAATACAAAGGGAAAAAATAGTTCTTTCAAACTGGGTGTATCGGAATCATGTAAGCAACTGTTGCTAAATAGTGATGCATGGCCTGAAAATATCATTATAAAAGAATTTCTGTTTTTTCCATAATTGCTCTAATTTATCTAATGTATCACAGGGTTTTAACAAAAATAACGCAAATCTAAAAATTCTCAATTTAAATATCCGTAGTATCAGACACAAAATTGATAAATTTGAATTTGTCTTGCAAACTCTTGGTTATCCGGATATTGTATGTATCACTGAAACTTGGTGCAAAGAATATGAAATTATATCAGTCAATTTGAACTCGTACAACGTCTCAGACTACTTTTGTAGGAAAGACAAAGATGGTGGTGGAGTTGCCATATTTGTTAGAAATGATCATGATTTCATAATAAAAAGTACTAAAATTCAAAAATGTCAAAATGTTTTCGAATATGCAGCTATTGAGGCGATTGTCTCTGACCTTCGATTATTCATAAGTTGCTTTTACAGGTCACCGGCTACTGATAGTAAAACGTTTCTCACTAAAATGGAATCATTTCTTGAAACACTCAGTTATAAAAATTCTAAGTCGATTAATATTATTTGTGGTGACTTTAACTTCAATTTTCATGATGAAGTACATGACAGTGAGGCAAAAATACTTCGTAATCTACTTTCAGCATATGGTTTGAAACAATGTATCTTCGAATATACAAGGTTACAAGGAGACAGTAGATCTACAATTGATAATATATTCTCATCGGTTGAGTATGAAATTGAAAACAAAGTTTTGCATGTGGACTTCTCGGACCATGCTCTCCAGTTTATTACATTACCTATAAATTTCG